TTATATAATGTCGTTTGGATCCATATATGATCATTATTTATTGTCATAAATGTTTTATGTAGGCTTGAGTTAATGAAATCGGTGCAAGTTGTAAACCGGTAAATTGGACGTTTAAAGGCAAATTGGATGGTTTTATCCACCCAATTAGACTCTCAGAGGATATTAAGGACCATGGTAAACATTTCGTCAATTTTTATTTCTGAGCGAAAAAAAGTCAAAAAATTCCAAAATTGAAGTCTAATATATTCACGCTTTTGAGAAATTTTGGAGGTTTCAGGGCCCGTTGGCGAAAATACTCGAGAATTTAGGGGATAAATCTCATGGATATATAATGTCGTTTGAAACCATACATAATTATTATATGCTGTCATAAATGTTTGTGGTAAGCATGAGTTAATGAAATCGGTGCAAGTTGTAAACCGGTAAATTGAACGTTTAAAGGCAAATTGGATGGTTCCATCCACCCAATTGGACTCTCGGAGGATATAAGGGACCATGGTAAAAAATTTCGGCAAATTTTATTTACAGGCGAAAAAAGTCCAAAAATTCTAAAATTGAAGGCTTATATCCACACATTTTGAGAAATTTTGGTGGTTTCTGGGCGCGGTGTCGAAAAGCCTTTATATTTTAGGGAATAAGTCTCGGGGTCATATAATGCCGTTTAGAATCATAAATAATCATTATATGTTGTCATAAATGTTCGTGGTAGGCTTGACTTAATGAAATCGATGCAAGTTGTATACCGGTAAATTGGCCGATTAAAGGCAAATTGGATGGTTCTATCCACCCAATTGGACTCCCGAAGGATATTAGGGACCATGGTAAACATTTCGACAATTTTTATTTCTGGGCGAAAAAAAGTCAAAAAATTCCAAAATTGAACGTTTTTTGAGAAATTTTGGAGGTTTAGGGGCCCGATGTTGAAAAGCCTTGAAATTCTTGGGGATATATCTCGTTGACATATAATGCCGTTTGGATCTATATATGATCATTATTTGTTGTCATTAATGTTTGTGGTAGGCTTGAGTTAATGAAATCGGTGCAAGTTGTAAACCGGTAAATTGGACATTTAAAGGCAAATTGGATGGTTCTATCCACCCAATTGGACTCTTGGAGTATATTAGGGACCATGGTAAACATTTCGACAATTTTTATTTCTGGGAGAAAAAAAGTCAAAAAAGTCAAAAAATCCACGCTTTTTGAGAATTTTCGAATGTTTCGGGGCCCGGTGTCGAAAAGCATTGAGATTGTAGGGGATACATCTCGGGGTCATATAATGCCGTTTTGATCCATATATGATCATTATATGTTGTCATAAATGTTCGTGGTAGGCTTGAGTTAATGAAATCGGTGCAAGTTGTAAACCGGTAAATTGGTCGTTTAAAAGTAAATTAGACCGTTTAAGCCACCCAATTGGACTACTGGAGGGTATTACGGACCATGGTAAAAATTTCGGCAAAATTTATTTACAGGCGAAAAAAAGTCCCAAAATTCCTAAATTGAAGGCTCATATCCACGATTCCACGCTTTTTGAGAAATTTTGGAGGTCTTTGGGCACAGTGTCGAAAAACCTTGAGATTTTTGGGAATACTTCTCGAGGTCATATAATGTCGTTGGAATCATATATAATCTTTAAATGTTTTCATAAATGTTCGTGGTAGGCTTGACTTAATGAAATCGGTGCAAGTTGTGTACCGAAAATTGGCCGATTAAAGAAAAATTGGATGGTTCCATCCACCCAATTGGACTCCCGGAGGGTATTAGGGACCATGGTAAACAATTCGGCAAATTTTATTTCCGGGCGAAAAAAAGTCAAAAAATTCCAAAATTGTAGAATAATATCCACACTTTTTGAGAAATTTTGAAGGTTTCGGGTAGAGCTGTCAATTTCAGTAAACGGGTTGGGTTTGGGTCGGTAAGAGTGGGTCGGGTCAGTTCGGATTAATTCCATAACCTATGCAAGTCGGTTTTGGGTTGGGTCATGCTTTAGTCGGGTCATGTCGAGTCATACTTCTTATAGGGTTTGATTTGGGTTAAATACAGGTCTTGTTATCTTCGGTTCGGGTGAACAATAGGTCGGGTTTAATTCGGGTTTTCACGGGTTAAAACAGGTTAGGGTAATTCTCGGGTTTGAGTCGAGTTCGGTTCAAGTCAATAATTTGTGGGTTATATTCAGGTCGGGTCATTCTCGAGTTTGAGTCGGATTCGGTTCAAGTTAATTATTTGCGTGTTATAATCAGGTCGGGTCATTTTCAAGTCAAGTCATTCTCTGGTTCAAGTCAGGTTCGGTTCAAGTCCATAATTTGGAGGTTATAATCAAGTTGGGTCATTTTCAAGTCGGGTCATTCTCGGATTCAAGTCGAGTAATGTTCAACTCAATAATTTGCAGGTTACAATCAGGTCGGGTCATTTCCAAGTGAGGTCATATTCGGGTTCAACTAAATATGAATAGATAATTATCATTTTTATAAGCTAATTATTTCCTTTGACTATAATATACATGGAAATATATTAGGGAATTATAGTCTATAATTTGGGAAGATAATTATCTCCTTTGACCGTACAACAAATATATACTATATTTAACTCTTAAATTTGAGGATGATGCTCCCTTCTTTTGCTGGCCTGGATCGACTTGGTCTCCCTAGAAAAAATGCTTTGATCAACAATAATAAGGTGGTCTAAATTACATTTAAGGTGTTTTGAAATCGGGTCAGGAACAATTTGGGTTGAATTTAGGTCGGGTCGATAACAAGTCGCGTTGATTTCGAGTCGGGTTAGTAACAGATCATGTTGAATTTTTGGGTCGGGATAGTTATAGGTCTTGTAAAATTCAGGTCATGTCAATAACAAGTCGGGTTGATTTTGGCTCGGGTTTGTAACAAGTTGGGTTAAATTCGAGTCGGGTTAGGAACGGGTCAGGTGGAATTCAGGTCAGGTTAGTAACAAGTCGGGTTAAATTCGGGTTTTGACGAGTTAAATTAGGGTTTTGACGGGTTAAAACGGGTTTGGGTCAATTTCGGTTCACGTCGGGTTCGATTCAGGTCAATAATTTACGTGTTACATTCGGGTCGGGTCATCTCCAGGTCAGTTCATGTTTGGGTTCGGGTCTCACATACTCGGGTCAACTCGGGTCTAGGGTTGGTTTCAGGTCGGATCAGGTAGGGTTTGGGTCATCATTTTTTCGGGTTTAGATGGGTCGGTTAATAATCGCGTTTGAGTCGTTAATTCGAGTCGGGTCAACTTTTGATAGTGCTAGTATTGGGTATGATCTTTAACCCCATCTCCGCCGCAATACTTGCCACCGAGACCTAATGTGCATGTCTCCTACTTGGCCTGCCATGCTAACATCCCTAATCATAATACATCATTTCTCGTTGATTAAATATATTGAAATTATTTTAGGCCAAAAAAAAAAAAAAAAAAAAAAACCACCTAATCAAATCCCACTCTTTCTTTTCTTTTCTTCAATGTTCATCACTAATATTGCCAAATGCCTATTTTTCCGGGTAGTAAATAAACCTTGTACAAATCAATCAATTACATAATACTAAAAGCGAATCTGACATTACACTTGTTATGTTCTGATTAAAAAATTTCCCACCCTTTTTTCTTTCCTTTTTTTTTTCTTTTCTTTTTGTACAAAATCTTCATTAATATTAATTTATATATCCTATAATATTTAATATTAATTTGGCAACTATGTACGAAATATATTCTATTTGCATATCTTTCAAAATATTTATAATAGGTACTTTTCTATGATAAACAAACATATAAGGTTATGTATTAGAATAATGTACTACTCCATACTTCATATCATTCTTTGTCATTGTATTTTTTCTTCAAAAGTTTTTTTGCTTTAATAAGGATTGACACTATAGCTTTTACTATGTATTTATTGATTACTTTATAATAATAACACTAAAATTCAATAACTAGAAATATAAATATAAAACAAAAATTAAAAAAAAAACCTTGATTATTAATTGTCAATAAAAATAAGTCAATTAAATTTGTATAAACATTGTGCCAGTTATAATATGCTATAAAATATTGTGTCTGTCAAAACATGCCAACAAAATAAGGACATATAGGCTATATAATTACATTGCACAGGTTATAATTAACATAAATTTCATTCTCATATAAAACCCTATAATCATTGAATTTGTGTTTTTTTTAATGTTTAATAATCAATAACTTTTGCTAACAATATAATATAAAATTTAAGTTATTTTTTTTCTTTGAAAAGAAATTCAAGTATTTGTTTCAATTAAAATGCTGATTTGTTTTATAAAAAATTATTGTTAAATTAAATTGTAATTCATAATTCGGTTAAGTAAAAACCATGCGTTGCACGGGACTTAAACTAGTTGTTTAATATACTCCTCCACTATGCACAATAATTTTGACATGTACTCTCTTATATCATAAATGTTCTACCCATTTTCATTATACTATCAATACATTATTCTAACCATAAATATCTATATTTGAATATTAGAAAAATAAAATAAAAATATACTTCTATAACAATTGGATATTAATAAATTACTCATTAAAATGAATCAAATAAAACCCAACATGACTTGTAAATTGAGAGTAATTTAGAAGATTTGATATATTGAGAGTAATTTAGAAGATTTTCTCAACTTATAAACAGTGCCAAGAATGATATATATATATATATATATATATATATATATATATATATATATATATATATATATATATATATATATATATATATATATATATATAAAAAAAAAAAAAAATATATATATATATATATATATATATATATATTTATATTATATATATATATATATATTTATATATATATATATATATATATATATAAGGATTAGAGGAATTAATATTTTCGAAATTTAACTAAATATCGCTTGGTTTTTAGGCAAGGCAGCTAAATACAGGAGAGGTGTAGTACCGCAGCCACTACTTTAATGACTTGCAACAAAGAAGCTTTGAGAGTTAAGTAGCTGAAAGCTCTTATTGGAGCAACTTTCATTACAATGGTGGCTTAGAGATTACATAAAATTACAGCTGGAAGTAGCCCATTTCAATAGGCAAACAACACTTCGATTACCAATTGAATCATGTTTCTCCCGAACGCCTTGTTCTATACTAGGACGGAACTCATGGGAGCTCCTCGAATTTGAGACCAGACACCCGACTCCTGAATTTTTCAGTTCAGAAGAATCCTCGGGGGAAACACAAAATGATGATACATCAATTATGTCCAAATCGATCCCTCCATCAATGTTGATCAGAGACGCTCTTTTTCAAGCAACTTAGGTGCAAAAAGCTCAAGTAGAGATTGGCCCTCTGATGGAATACGCAGGAACTGCAACTAACATCCAAGATCTTCTTAGTATGTTTGGCGCAAAAGGCTGTGGATGCAGGTCTCCAAAATATGCTTTTAACTGGCATAAGAGATGCCCAAAGCAAGAGAACCCATGTGTTTGCCTCAATATTCAGGCCAAAAATTTAAAGTCCGTCAGCTCTGCAAGTTCAGAAAAAGATGTCACCAAGCCAGATACTATTCCAAGGATAGCGGTGCTACTAAGGATTAATATGCACAATATACTGTAGACTATTTGGTGGGATGGAGTCATCAACAATCCTCAAGTTTGACTATCACATTAAGAGTCAAAGATAGAAGTAGATACGTCAAGTAACGTATACCATTGGCGAAACACTTCACGAGGAGAAAAATTAGCAATGTACAGTGTACGTGCAACATCACTTCTATCCATGTCAATACTGGAATAATCAAAATAAATATTTAGAAGGGCAGCAGAGTAAGCAGTTTACCGCGGGAACCCTGGGGGAGATGCATAGTCTGGTGAAGGAGGTCCTGTATCTCCCTCATAATTTTGCAGTTGCTCTTGTACCTCTTCTGTTCCTACAATTTGCTCTCGTCTAGCAGAACCAAACTGACGTTCAATCTGGGAATCATAAGCAATGGTCTGAGGATAAGGATATAGCATAACAAAGGGGGGACGGCCATCTCCAGATTGAGAAACCTCATTATGGTATTCAGAACACGTCTGATACACCGAATAATCAGTATCATAACAGCCATTCCATGTAGATTTTGAAGTAGCTGGATCTTTTGGGAAGCGATACAACTGATATGAATTTTTCCGGAAGGTATCACAAGGTCTATCAGTTTGGGAATAGCTAGTAACTGACCGGTCTATCTTTGAGACTGTCTTGTCATTTCGGTATCGAGGTTGAGCACGACCAGAAAATCGTGGCTTCGAGCTGGAATTCCAATTTGCTTCCCTCTCCCCATGGTGCTCATTCCTGTCATGTTTGGAGTCTCCTTGATACTGTCTGGGGGTAGAATATTGGGGGGGATCTCTGAGAACGTTCTGAAAATTTTCATGAATTAAAACAAGTTATGCAAAAGTTATAACTCATAGTCTTCTACACTAAAAGTCTGACAGTACAAGACAGAGTAGTGACAGACAGTATAACTAATAACCAGATGCAAAATGATGCAAGTTGTAAACTAACATGTTCTTATGGCTTATATAGGGAAACCAGATAATTATCCAAGTATCAGGCACGGTCTGATATGGCCCAGATGTAACTTTATCCACTCCTTACAAATCAAAGAACGACTTCTTATGGCCAAGGAGTCGAAGATTATAGACAGGACGAAGAGTGGCATGTATTATCATCTGAATAAACTTTAAATGATGGATAAAGCTTGATTAAAGATTATTATATACGAAAAGGACATAATGAGCTCTTAATTATCACCAAACAGAAAGCTGCCAACACACCACAATAATACGACGATCCAATTTGATGAAAGAAAGCAAAATATTTCAGTCATGTTCTAAACACGAGATGCAAAAAAGGCAAGTATTGAATCAGAACATACAAGTGCATTGTAACCATTAATATAGGCAGCAAAAACAATAAAAAAAACTCCTATATAGTGTCAATTGGAAAGAGTCTTACTGGATTTGGGAAATAAGTTCCAGTTCCATTGCGTTGTTTAGGAAATTCTCCACCATATTGCCTTGAGACACTAGCAGGCTTAATGGAACCTGACTGCTGTGCTTCTGAAACGGGCACTGGATGAGAAAAGATACTGGAATTCCCAGAATATGGTGATCGAGGAGCATCAAATGGGATATTCCCCTGAAGTTGTACAGGTGGTACATATACAGAGGGAGGATGGACAAAATGATGCTGAAATTGAAGGTTTTGACAGAAACGCCCATACTGAAGATTCTTCCAGTGGCTAGCAAAGTCGCTGTTGAATATGTCAGGTTCACACTCATCAGAATCTTCTCTAGATGTAATCCTTTTTGTTGAACCAATGCTACTACTATGGCTCAACCGCTCTAGCCCACTAGCTGAATCTGAGCTATGGCTAGACTGGGTCAAGGAGAAGGTAGACTTCTCCCTATCCGTATCATCATGACTGGCAGGTGCTGCAGAGGTTCCTGTTTCAGCGCTTATATTGTATACAGGTACCATTGTGACAAAAGGCACAGGTAGTCCAGCAGGATAAAAGGCAACTGGTAAGACTGGATGATTGTGACTAATACCCTGCTGTGGACCAGGCCGTACCAAAAAAGAAGAAAAGGGAAACATTGAATTTGGATAGTTCATATGAGCTTGCCCATACCCAGGTAACTGATGAACCTCCATGTGTGAGGAAGTAACAGATGAGGAAGCAGATTTATCATCAACATCATCATCATAAGTAAGATCAACAGATCCTTCCTCATTTAGCCATTGGCATTTAACTACCGGAGAGGGATTTTTTGAAGAAGTTGCCTTCTTTGTCCCTGGGTATCTCACTGTATTGTTTAGTTTGGAGGGTTTTCCATCCCAAGAACTGTCTGAAGTTGCCTTTGTCTTATAGGAATTAGCAGGAATAAGTGATAATCTAGAACTAGCAACAGAAAACTCCTTGCTTTCATGATCACCCTCTCTCATCAAATCAGCTTTACTGTTTGTCCAGGAATCATGGTCATCATCCAGATGATTGACTTCTAGTGATGCTGAACCACTAATTAAAACCCCCTTAACTTCTTCATCAGGTGTGAGTCCAACAGGAATTAATTGGCGATAAGAAGGTGCTACAGAGGTACCATCAGAATGATGCAAAACGTCACCCCAATCAGACTGAAGAGGCGCAAAATTTAATGGCCTTGTACCAGCATATATTTGGGGTCTGGTTCCAGGAAAAGGAGGTGGGATTGAAACAAACTGATGAGAAGCTAGATTCACAGGCATCTGAGCATGCCCACCATGTTTCTGAACCCCAGAAGAAGACATCAGGTTTACAAAGTCTTGTCCCTCCTGGAGTCTCTGATTTGGATCAGAAACTACAGGTTTTGTAGAACTAGCAGGTCTCCTTACATAACAATTCGCAAAAGGATTTTCCATCATGCCAGAGTCTCTCATTCTTCTGTTGTACTCAAATCTTGAGCTGGCAACCTCATTTACCTTTTCGGTGGTCTTATGCTTGCGTAGAGATGCAGCTTCATTAGACAAGCTAGTCAGTTCAGGACTAGAAGATGTCCTAGCAAACTGTGGTGTGGCATGCCCTTTATTTTGCAAGATATTCGCCATGCAAATTCTTTCTCTTTCATTCAGTTGCTTCTTAGTAGGATTTTTCCTCTGAGTATAATATTGATCCCAATCAGAAGACATGTGAGTTCTTGATTCTTTCTCATAATCCTTCTGCCCAGGAGAATGCAAATCTTTGTGCACGTCAATGGCCTCAGCTATCTGATTCACAGGAAGGATACTAGGCTGCATCAAAAAATCAATAGAGCTTTGAGATTCATCAACCTGTGGATACTGACTCAAGTTCGCTGTTGAATTATCAACAAATATATGTCTTCTGCGATTTCCGTCATGGTTGGAGTTGACCAGTGGCGAGTGAAACGCATTAATTACGGGTATGTCAGGACGGACACGTTTCCCATGTCTATCCCATGTGTTCACAAAGAACTGGTTCACTACAGCAACAATATTCTCTTCCTGGCACTCGAGTATTCTAGTCAGCTGTTGGGCCCCAAAACTGAAGGCGCTGCGAATTCTATAAAAGTTGCCTGAACATATACATAGAAATAGAATGATAAGTGCATAAAATTGGTCATTAGATAATCCTCTTCACCACAAGATAAATAACAATAAAGAATCAGGATAGACACGTGATCAAGAAACAGAAATAAGGAAAATACCAAGGAATGTATAAAAGACAAATTCAAATATGAAAACAAACAACACTATCAGGCTTGTCAAAACCCAAAACACAAACACTGAAACACACATATAGAGCACAGTCAATTCAATCTTTGGTTTATTTTGACGAAGCATACACTTCACACTTGTTTATATATATATATATATATATATATATATATATATATATATATAAACTCAGACACACCATTATAAGTGTCAGTGTGTCAATACATTGGTTACATTTATGCTCGATTTCAAATCCTCTCCTTTGATGCCTTTAGCGCCTTTAGCCAGTAAATTATCTCATCATATCATCATCTTATTATATTAGCTGTGCTCTCATCAAATAAAAGCATTTCCTGAGTAATCATTACCACTACAAGAGCAACATCAATATCAGCCACAATACTGATGGACTGTTGGCTACTTTTTAGAAAGGCTATGTAATCTTACCCTTCAAAATATCACAGGGTGAACGCGTGGTTGCTTTAGTGAAAGGAAGGAGCAAAGACGGTATACCAAAAAGTACGAGATAAAGACAGAAATACACTTCAAAACAGTTTATAGGTTGTATAAACCAGAAATCATAGAGAAAATATCTGTTCACAGAATTGCAAGAAAATTGACACAACATTAGTAACTCCAGAACAGAAGTAGATGATAACCGGCAAGAAACTCCATGCACGAGGACATTAGAAAAAGGGAAATCGACAGAATGCCTAACAGGCCCCAAATGGCCCCCTCCTCCCCAACCCTTCCCAAAAATCATTTCAGTGGCAAAATGGTGGTATTCAACCTACTCTAATCACAGAAGAGAAAGCATGACTCCAATTTCGAGTTTTGCTAGATGTACGTAGCATTTCCTTTCCATTTTTAACTCCATTACAACTACATTTTGATATGATACTCATTTTCAATTGGTTAGTCACTCCATGCAAGCACTTCTCAAGATTCCATCTCAACAAAAACCAAATATAGGTCAATGACCATGATCTCTGTGAAATCTAAAGAACCAATCATTCATAGCACAATTCAAAGAACCTGCAAAAGATATTCATAGTAATATAAAGAAACAACTCATCACAAATAAGTTGGTCACAAGGGTATCAATTTATTTTGCCACCCAAACAAGCTGTTAAAACTCATTTGGTAGGTAAAATAATGATTTTGAACAAAATATACATCATCTTGGTTCTATAGTACTTAATATTTCAAAAAGTTAGAAGTTCAAATTAAAAAAAATAATAATAAAACATTTTCCTACTTGGATTTAGTTATCACCATACATGAAATTGAAACCTAATGACTAACACAGTAATATCTTTTTACTGCTTAATTTTCAAAATTTTAGCAGCACCGAACAGAAAGAATTGATAAGAAATATTCTAAACTTTACAAAGTTTGTATTGAGCTAAAAAATAACCAATCAAGTCTTCAAGCCTAAATTGACCCTCTATTATTCTGAAATCTTACAGTGATGAATTCCAATATATAAAGCTTCATCATTCAAAATACATACTACATAATTTTAGTCTAAGCCACTTGTTCATAATATTATATGGTTTTTACATCAACCAAATGTAAGAACAAACGAAGAAACAATGCTACTGCAAGTCCATAATTACCTACTTTTACAAAGTGCTTAGCTTTAGGCGTAAGGACAGGGATAAGCACTACAAGTCCCACGAAGTTCTTGATTCCAACATTAGTGAAAATTGACTCCAAGATGTTCGTGCACATAATTCCCTCAAGTCCTCAACAAATGAATATTTTCTGCTCTAACAAAACTCATTAAGTATGCCTAAATAAAGCAGTAGCTTCAGCTTTAAAAACATATTATGAACTTGCATTTCTTGCTTCAATATACAAGTTTTGGAAAGACAAAAGGGAAAAGGCTTTTTTTAGAGACCAACTTACCTACATATTATGGTAAAGTTGTGGCTATAGCATAATATTATAATTTTTGTGGTAGGTGTACATGCTGTGACTTTATGTGGGATAGAGTACTTTCTCTTACTTCACTTGGTTCCAAAAAGATCTTTTCAGGCATTAGTGTTTTCCTTAGTTGACACACTAAAACCACCTTTTCCTTCAATGGTTTGTACTACTCACAGTTTAAATATTGGGGTTGTGATTGCAATAACAATCATGCATCGAAGAAGTGTTTGCTGTAATATTGTGCGACAAGCCAAATAATGATCATTATATGTCTTATATCGGTTGTATCAGCTGTCAGCTGACCTTAAATTGGTCCATCAAGGCCTTGCTTTGGACATATCTGCTCTGTATCAGCCATTAAGGGTATACATAATAATCCCTTACGACTAGGAAAATACTGATTCAGCAAGTTGGCAAACTAATCATATTGGCTGATATATATATAACCATCTACTCAATATTGGGACTAATAAAGTTTTTTTAGAAAGAACATAAAGTAGATAGTTTTAACTGATTGGGAAATGAGAGGAACATATCAACATTGTCGTCAAAAGAGAACTCCCTAACATTCCTTTGGGAAGCTCAAATTCTGAAAGCCCACAAATCAATATTACGCTTCTTATTAGTCACTTACTACATACAGCAGCCTTCTGTAACAATTAAGCAGAAACCATGTCTAAATGTGTACATAGAAAATGTGATGGTTAAAGTAGATATTAGTGAGGCGTCAGATTTCAAAACAGATAGTCAGCCATGAGGAAAAAAAATTGTTTGGTAAGGAGAGTCCGAGAGTGCACTATGTTAGTCAGATACCTTTACTCACACTGCGGCCAAGGTTGTTGTTTATTCGCAGGGGATCAACAACATTAAAATGTTTGGAAATGAAAGGTTGCTCTTGGTTATCTAGACCTCCAGCATAGACAGAATATGCTCTATTACAAGCATTAAGAAACATATTGTTCAGCAATAACTCTGCATCATCCCTTCGAGGAGGATCAGCTGCAAGCATTCAAACATAGACTGGACATCAGCCAAAAAAAAATAAAAAAACTTAGTTTATTATCCAATTTCTGCAGCAATGATAACTACCTGTCATACTGGGAAGCGAACAAATCGGTACTGGACCCCTGAGGCTAATACAAAAGTTGGCCCAATCAAATTTACTAAAGAACTCCACAAAACGATAGAGGACCTACACATGAAAAACACTGTATATTAAAAAAAAAATCCTTTACGAAGAAAGTAAAACAAAATGACTAAGGAATATAGAAAAATATTCATACATCTAGGATATGAAAAATCATAGGCAATAGCATAAACATACCTCAAGTGGCCCAACAAAGGAACTGTTGAAAACATGAAATATATACAAAACCAAGGTTTCCAGAGCATAAGTTGATATAAGTCCATGATGAGCCCCAAGTATACGGCTCTCGTAGTAACACCAGGCCTTGATTAGTATGATGCTTCGCTTAAATAAATGCTCTCGGTTAATCAAGTTGTCAACCTAAAATCCAAAATAAGTCGGTTACCAATGGCCATTTCATTTAATTAGATTAATCAAGAAATAATATGAGCCATACATATTACCATCATATATCAATATAACCAGGATATAGAAGCACACCTCTTCAAGAAAACAAAGTGTACACAAACCGCCAAGCTGGTTGAAAGATATGTCCACCACAATGTTATCTACAAGGCACTTTATTAACTTCACCTGCAATATGTGCGAAGGTAAGGTATTATACTAGTGGATAACATTAGCCAAAAACACGGAGTTCTCAAATTTAAATTTAATCGTAACATTTACATTGACTTACCAAACCCTCATCCTATAAATCCAAAATTGTATGTTCATTGGCTTAGGTAAATATTTTTATAACTGTATTTTATTAATATGACCGTAGAATAGACTTGCAACCCTCATCCAACAACATTCTAGAAAGGATCGTCCAGATTGTCTAACACACATCGTTTAGAGCCTGTAACTTATCAACAAGACCAAAGACCAGTACAGGACAATTTGGATTCAATCAAAGACACCACAAAGCTAGAAAGAGAAAGTGAATGCTCAACCAAGACAAAGACCAAAAAAAAAATTTACAATTAAGTGATCCCTGCAAAAACAGCATAAATTTTTTGTCTCTACGGTCTACCAACTATATGTGAAAACCTTAGCCACAGGATTATAAATGCACTCAGTAATATATACGAGTATATAATAGACTACAAAGCAACACAAAGTAAATTTGACACTGAAGAAACTAAGAAACTACCTCAGCTTGAATGTACTGAACCTCTTTCACCTGAAACTCAGCATGCTCATTCTTTTCTTCCCTTCGCAACATATCCAGAACGCTATTAGCCCAATTATCTTTCAACTTAGGGTCTTCAGAAAAAGCAGTTAAATCAATATCCCCATCCGGTAGGTAAGTCTTAAGAGTTACGGAACCAAAGGTAAACACCTGTCAATAAGTCATAGATCCAAGATGAGAGGGATAGTAAGTTTAAATTTTCTATTGCAGTATGTACAGAATCAAGAACTTAAGCATATACCAATGCTGTAAACAATCATTCGATCACAATCAACAGGTTCATGATTCACTCAGTTTCTCAAATACGAAATTGTCGACATGCTAGCATCATGATTTATATTTTCGCTGAAGAAAAAAAGATTTTCTATAAGATTAAATAACTCATTTAAGACAAATAAATGTTTCACTTTGTTTTTTAGATCCATTAAAGTTCAAAAGATCATTATGAGAAGAAGAAAAATTGCCTGCTGGTGTTACTTTGAAACTCCTTTATATAATCTGAACATAGGAATTTTAACTAGCTTTATGCATGAGCTCTAATTATGTTGATATAATTAATTGACTAGAGAAATTTAATTCACAGCAAGATACCATCTATGTAGCTAGGACTTCTCATCCTTCAAGAGACACCCACGTGGCCACGTCGTACAAAAGATTCATCATGCCAAACAATATAGGAAATGTGTTCCTTCATACCGTTGGTATGAACATATCTCCCAGGTCAAAATGATTATTGGCAAGACAACCCAAGATTTCGAGAACAGGACTAGAGGAAAGACAGGTTACTCATTTTGTACTTTCAAGATTATGTGAAAAATGTTCATTTGGATTCTAAGCAAGGTAATAGGGAAAATTCCTTAGGTTGTGGGATTTCAATATCTAGAGACATGCAGATTCATAATTCAACCAGATTACACAACTCCAAAAGAAAATAATACTTCCTCAGTTCCACAAATATTGCAACAATTACCATTTTATGAAGTTTCACGAATATTGCAATGTTCCTTATTTGCACATGTTTTCTCTCTTTCTCTCTCCTCGTCACATGGGTCCCTATTTTTATTCAGCTTTATCTCCCTCCTCTTCCTAAAATCTATGTCCCCTTCCCATGTTACAATATTAGAGGAACTAAGGAAGTGTGTGTATATATACCTCTTCTGTTTTTATTAACTTGCAACCTACCATTTTGGCACGTACTTTAAGGTCTTCATTAGAGTAGGCATACGGACAAATTAACTGACAATTTTACCATCGAAATGAAAGAAGTGGTAAGTTGCAACGCTTTAAATTTTATAGCTTAATTCTTCCATTTATTTAGTCTAATCATCTCCTCAAATAACGTGTCAAAAGGGTGTGTTGCAAGTAAAAAATATAGTATTGCTATGATAGATAAGTAGTCCCCTGATTCCAAAGGCTTGCAAGTTGCACTAAAATCAAACAAGGAGTAAAATCCTAGATGTAAGTAGCAATTGAAAAAAGGTGACACACTTGGTGGCTAAATATTTTGTTCCTCCTAAAAAAGTTCTAATCATTCCTTAACTCAAAATTTTCCATAAGAGTTCCTTTGTCACAAACAATGAAACAAATCTCACCCATCGAATTTTAAGGAATCCCAGGCACAGTAGTCACTCTTCTTACTACAATTCTCCCCAACATTCAAAGAAAAGGAAGTAAGAATAAAGGTTAAAAAAACAAAACAAAAAAAAAAAAAAACTCATTGTCCGAAAAAAATATTGGAAACTTTAACCACTTAATTTATTCAAAAAACACATTAGGCTACTTCTTCATCACATGTACTTGTATAGAAATTTTTAGATAGGTGTAATGGATAATGGATTTGCATTTTTCATTTTTGGGTGCGCATTTGCGCACGAGAAGGAGATAAAATAAATTGAGTAGCGGTACAAAACTACAAATACTCCTTAGTTTAAGTTTGTATTTTGGGTGTAAACCCTAATGCATGAAAGAAATTTAGGTATACCACATAGTAGCATTACACAACTAACCAAAGCTATCGTGATATAATCATGAAACAAATCATATAGAATCCACAAATGCCATAACATTATCAACAACTTTAGTCCATATATGGGAAAAATAGATGCATATCCTAACTGGATACGGCGGAAACCAACACTTTAAATGAGTTCAAACCTTGCAAGGCAGACAATCTCCAATTAGACACTGCACATAGGATGCAACAGCATTCCTACGCTTCTCAGATTCCCAACTCGGCTGAATTCGCGATATAAGTTCTGCAGTTCTATTCTCGGCTATAGCCCATCTTCCCGGGTCAAGCGGCCGAGTAACAGAAGCAGCTCCTTTCAACACTAGACCATTAGGTTGGAAGTCATTGGATTGCACCCAATCACTGTGACTATCCATCCTTAGATGGTATATACTCTACCCTCCTTTTTCCTATCTGCTCAAGACAATATATAAACAATTGAGTAAGAAATGCTATCACATTATAATGTAAAACATACATTTTCCAATTTCTCTATCAATAATTGCAGATATATGAAATTTGACATCAATTCATATGAAAAAACTCCTAATTCTCACTTCAAATTATTATAAAAACCCTAAATTTCATTGTGATCCTCCCGTTACAACCATACAAACAATCAACAAATTTCAACAAAAATTGATCAAAATCCCTAACAGCAATTTCCACCAAAATTCACTTCGCAAAAAATGAACCAATGAACAACAATAGAATACTTCGAAATTCACCAATGCTAAAAATGATGAAATTAATTACAACAAAAAGGAAAAACAAAAAAAAAAAAAAAACAGAATTTAATTTAAAAATCGAGAATTGGAAAGAAAACAAAAAATTGCTGAAAAATCCTAGAATTAAAAGAGCGTAGAAATTGTAAAGACCTGATAAATAAAGGATTGAATTTGTGAGACGAAGAATCAATAGAGTAGCAAAGCAATTGTGAAATTGTAGAATTTGATCGAAATTGATGAAGTTCTGCCGCAAAGTTTGAGTTTTTATTGATTTTTGATTTTTTGATTTCTTAACAAAATGAGTAGTGATAGCAGAGAGAGAGAGAGAGAGAATAGAGGACAGGGTCAAAGTAATTTCTGTTGGGGTTATTTTGTGTGTTCTCTTCTTGTCAACGGTTGTTTTTATCAAAAACTAGTAATACAAATACAAATAATGGCCAATAATTGCATTTTGGATATAGTTTACATGTATAAACCATAATAAATGACCTTGATGTTAATTTGAGTAATTTTGAATATGAATAAGATATCGCGTTGGATGCGAGAGATGAAAAGCGTTGGTGTGAATGAATTACTTCTTTTGTAAAAAATAGTGGAACTTTTGGAGATTTGTGCAAATCACTTGTTGAGTTTTATGGGAGATATGTCTCTTGAAAGGTAAAATATCTTTCGTTGTATCATCATCCTTTGAGAATGATGATCTCAACCTTTTCAACAAACCGGGCGTGCTAATAGAATCCTTGCTAGAAGATTTATTTTTTTAACCTAACTTGTATGTCTAGGTTAAATCACAACATCCTACAATATAAAAAGAACAAAATTTTAAAGTATTTTACATTTGGCTTGTTTGGTTGTATGTAGGAATTGCTAATTCCTTGGAAATTTGATTTCCCATGAAATTGAACTTCCTAGGAAATTCTAAAAAGTGTTTGATTAACTAAGGGAAGTGGAAATTCCCATGGAAAGTTCCACTTACCTAGTCCCCCAAGGTAATTTATTTCCCCCATTTTGTGAGAAGTGGGAATTCATGAAAATTTCTACTTTCCATGAATTTGTCAACCAAACAATTTCAATTCTTATCATGTTTTTATTTGTCAACCAAACAACACCTAAATATAAAAATGTTAAAGGCTAATATTGAAAAAACAAAATCTAATATGACAAAATAAAGTCATATATATGATAAATAAAAAATTAAAACAAAAAAGGCACGCACAAAATTTGATATAAAAAACTAACATTACAAAATTTAATTATGAACATAGATATTGTGTTGGTTACATCATTAGATCGCCTACGTGAGAGCATCATTTCTCACTTACGTACAAGGTTTATGATGACTGACTTAGGTCCTTTGAATAAATTTCTTGGCATTTTTACTACTCGTACACTATCATACTTGTTTTTATCATACTAAAAATATGCAAATAAATTTTGAAGCGCGCAATTATGGGGAGTTGTTAACCTGCAGCAACTCTAGTGGACACTCAATCCAAATTCGATACATAATTTGGTAGTGGGCACTCAATCCAATTTCAATACTTAATTTGGGCCTAAGTTTCATGATCTAACTCTCTATCGCAGCGTTGCAGGTGCTATACAGTTTCTCGTTTTTACTCACCCTAATATAGATGTATAGCGTATACAGGTCATTAAGTTTGTTTATACATGCATGACCCTATATGGAGACTCATTAATTATGATGCATTAAGACGCATCTGGCGATATATTTAGGGTTCCATTTATCACGGGTAACATTTATATCCTTTTATTCCTTTAGTTCCTACAAACTTGATCACTTATTGATACTGGTTAGGGCGGGTGTCATGACACTCATCAGTCAACTTTCATATATTGTTGTTTTCTAAGGGGGGCAATCTCAATTCCTAGTCAGGCTACATTTGTTTATTGTAATAATGTCAAGTGCTTTACATGTTCCTACATGATATTAGTTTGCGAACATCTTTACAATATGTCTACCTCAACAACTATTTAAGACTTTAGATCCAGTCTCGGCATTTAACCTCCTCCCGCTATGATTGGCTGATTGCGGGGTGTGTGATAACATATATGTAAAGATATCCTATCGTATTTAGGATATATGAGATTTATTTTGAATGATTATCTTTTTAGGTTTCCAAACACAGGTTTCCAAACACAGGTTTCCAAACACAGTTAAAACTCACGTTGTAACTCCTATATATATATTTATCAATGGAAATTACTCCAATCTAAGGAGTTTCCCAAAATCCTAAACACAAACAAAACACGGTTTTGCTTAGGATATTTTATAATTCTAGACCAGAGCTTTTATTGCAATTACAATATTTGGAAAAATAAAAATAAAAAAATTACACAAAAAGAAGAAATTAGTCCTAAAATACATTTTTAAAAAAGACATAAAACCAGACATTAGCATACTCTATAACAAGTTACGGAGTATTAATATCAACGGATTTTCACCAAATGCCACTAACAAATTTAAAGTTTCATCAAATGTTATCGCACTTTTCAGAATTCACCAAATGCCACTCAATTTTTTAAAAATTCACCGAGTGCCATTAATGACCAACGGACGTTAACTCCGTTAGTCATTAGGGGTTATCATGACACATGTCATGATATTGTTGGTCCATTTATCTTTATAAATAAAAATTAAAAAAAAAGCTGAAAATAATTAGAAAATAAAACAGAAAATTAAAATAAAATAAAAAAAACCCCAAAATTTTCCCAGCCACCCCTACCACCGCCAAACCCTAGCCCCTCCCCTTATATCGCCAGAAAACGGCCGGCCACCACCTTAACCACCGAAAATCGACCGACCGGCCCTTTTGCGCCCCACCTGACCCACCGTCGACCCCAAAAACCACCCACACAAACTTCCCCGACCCTGTAAAAACCTAAAATTAACCCCAGACCCTAGCCCCACGTGACCTCAACCACCTCGCCACCCCTACCACCAGCCAGACGAGGCCCAGAGCAGCCAGATTTGCCGCGTCGTTCTCCAACTGGGAGCTGCTTTCCAACCCTCCCCTATCCATTTACCCACCACAGCCATTAACGAAATCAAGGTTGTGAAGAGGAGGAGGGCCAAAATCGCCAAGTTAGAAGGGGATAAGGGTCGAAATCGGAGCGCGGGGAAGGGGAGGTAGCCGGAAAAGGGATTGGGGAAGGGAAGGGGGCTGGGATCGGGACAGAGAAAGGATTTTGAAGGTTGAGGACTGGGTTTCGTGGCGGTGGGGAGGGAGTTTCGTGCTGGTGGGGAGGGAGTTTCGTGGGAGGGGGAGGGGGAGGAACGACGTCGGCGCTGCGAGGGATCTTCTAGGTGGTCGGCGCTGCGGGAGAGCTTCTTGGGCGGCGTCGGTGCTGTGGGACAACATAATCCAGTAGCTGGGACGGCGGGAACGACAGCGAGGAGGGTGGTTGTGGCTGATGGGGGTTTTGGCTGGTCGGGGTTTTTGAAATAATTTTGGGGTTTTTTTTTTTTTAATTTTCTGATTTTTTTTTTTTTATATTTTCAGCTTTTTTTTATTTTTATTAATAAAGATAAATGGACCAATAATATCATGACATGTGTCATGATAACCCCTAATGACTAACGGAGTTAACGGTCGTTGGTCATTAATGGCACTCGGTGAATTTTTAAAAAATTGAGTGGCATTTGGTGAATTCTGAAAAGTGCGATGGCATTTGATGAATTTTTAAATTTGTCAGTGGCATTTGGTGAAATAGCCGTAATATCAATTCATGTTGATTTACCCTTCACATTGTTTAGAACTCCGTATACAATAACACAAATCATCACGCAAATCAATAGCACCACATCTCACACTTACAGAGTTACAGTACCATTTATCACTAGTAGAAAAAAGGCATTTGGCAGCGCTTCAAACCCGGTCTAAGGCACCGGTTTGAACCGCTGCCTATGTGAGGGGTGCCAAAAACCAAGTTTTTGGCACCGGTTCAAAACCGGTGCCATAGGGTGGAATAGGCACCGGTTAACCGGTGCCAAAAAGGCCCACTAAATTTTTTTTCAAAGTTCTTGGCACCGGTTAACCGGTGCCAAAAACCCCCAAAAATCATTTTTTTTTTTGTTTTTTTTGCTTAAAAATTAAATAAACTAAATTAAATAAAAACACAAAATATAAATCAAACATCACAATCAATACAAACGATTCTATTTAATATATAATCAATAAAATTTTACAACATAGATCAATAAAAAAAATTACTAATAAATCAAAAAAAATTACAACATATAAATAAATAATAAAAACTACAATATAAATAAAAAAAAAATATTACAACATCACAATCTAAAAATCCCCATATTCTTGATTCTTGATTCTTGGATTATGTATACCTGCGCCAATTAAAACATCAAAAATCGAAAAAAAACCCAGAAATCAAAAAATCACAAAAAGCTGCGAAAAAATTAAAAAAACCTAGAAAAAAAAATCGAATAAAAATCGATTAAATTAAAAACAAAATCGGAAAAAACCCAGAAATAAAAAAATCAAAACAAAATCGAAAAAAAAAACAAAATCCCAGAAAAAATGAAAAAAACCCATAAATCATAAAAATAAAAACAAAATCGAACAATCAAAAAACCCAGAAATCAATTAAAATAAAAACAAAAACAAAAAAAAATTGAAATCGAAAAAACCCAGAAAAAATCGAAAATCAAAATCAAAATAAGGCAACGAAAGTAAAAATCGAAACACAAAAATCAAAATCGAAAAAAAAGAAAAACAAAAATCAAAATAAAAAAACAAAATCGAAAAAATAAAAACAAAATCCCAGAAAAAAAAATGAAAAAAACCCAGAAAAAAAACCTAGAAATCATAATAAAAACAAAAACGAACAAATAAAAAACGCAGAAATCAATTAAAATAAAACAAAAACGAAAAAAAAATTGAAATTGATATCGAAAAAACCCAGAAAAAATCGAAAATCAAAATCGAAAATCAAAATTCAAAATTCAAAAATCAAAAATCAAAATCAGAAAACAAAAACCCAGAAATTGAGGGAGGAGGAGACGTGTTCTTGGTGCTCTCCGTGGAGGTGTTGCATGTGCTCGCCGTGGTGGTCTTCGTGGTGAGCTTGAAGGAAAAGGAGACGCGGTAGCTTTGGGAGAATGAAGAAAGGGAAGGAGGAGATGAGAAAGGGCGAAGGAGGAGATGAGAAGAGGAGAGAGAAAGAGTAGGAAAGAACCGGTGCCCTTTTAGTTTTTGGCACCGGTTTGGTCTGAACCGGTGCCTTTTATATTTGTGTAAAATGGCGCCCAAATTTGGGCCGGTTTAGGGCACCGATTTGGCCTGAACCGGTGCCTTTATGGGGGTGCCTTATTGTATTTTTCTACTAGTGTATATAGTTTTATAAAACATTTATATTAAAATCATCAGTAGAATTAATTCTTTAAATGTGATCAACATTATTTCTTTCACATTCTCACTAACTTAAATACAAATTATATAACGTTAATTGGTTAAAGACTCTAAATATTCCATAACTTGCATATTTAAGCATCAAAATGAGGTGATTTAATTTCTTAAAAAACACCTCAAGAAATATAATCTATAAGAAATAACTCGTGCATTGAACATGCCAAAAAACTTGATGAAAATCAGTAGCCAAACAAAGGAGTACCCAACATTAGAATACATAACCCGTAAGGCAAAACGATTAAAAAATATAAAAAAAATTAGTAACAATCCTATGAGATGAAAAAACTGGGAAAATTGAGTTTCACATCCCATCCTCTATCCACCAAGTTGCCATTGCCTTGGCAGAACTTGGTATACAAATTTAAAAAAAAAAAAAAAAAAAAAAATTAAAACGGAATAAAGCTTCACACATAGTCAACCAGCGGATATGGATCTCAATTGAAAACTTCCAGTTTCTGCTTCTATGTGAACAAGGTGTAGGGTCAAATATACGCTGCATTATCGGTGTAATTGAACCCTGCCTCAAAATGCAATCAAATTAACCTGCTATACTTGTACATTAATTTCTGAAAAGGGTCTATACATAATACATTAGCAATCTTAGCACAAAGAACAGGATTCTGTAAGTTATATCAGTAGGGGGGCGGGGGCAGTATTTCATATCCACTGAACTTGCTTCATCAGCTTCACTAATGCAAACAGCCCACAATTCCTTTTGAAATGTTGAATTATGCATTGAAACAATAATGGTACAACACTAAATTTCTACTCAGCAGAGGATTGTCTCAATTTCCCGTTGTCTTAGAATAGCAAAGGAAAAATAAAGAAAAGGCCGCTCAGACAGATTAAAGCTGAAAAACCCAAGGTTCCATAGACCCAACAGCGAGCACAAGAATCTGGAGGAGCAAAGTATGAAAGAAATGAAATCTGGCAATACCAGCCTTTATCGATGATGGGTAATGGCATGGAAAGAGATAATTGAAAGGCAGTCAAAATCTGAAGCTGGGATCGCAATCCATGGCCCATGAGAACTTTGCCAGCAAAGACTTATTAAAGATCTGTAAGAAACCAGTGAAACAGAGAAGATACAGAGAAGTAAAGGTCAGATACATAATATTTGAATTAAAGGGATTAGATGTTAAAAACATTACACAACCACGACAGAACGAGGATATTAGACTAATATTACCCCTAATCTTAGGATAAACTCAACTACCCATTTCCTGTAGTCCACATCCACACAACCTAGTGTATTCATTAATTTTCCAAATTGCTAGTCACCTGAGGGTGGTTTTTCAGAGCAATGACTCAATCTTAAAGATGACTATTTGAATAAAAATTCCATTCAAGAATGGACTTAAATTAATTAAAAATGACAGTACAAGTGGCTGTGGATATATGATTTAGAGTAAGAAGTGGATTATATATCATAGTTTTTTGAATAACAACATTACTGAGGGGACTTTTGTTACTTTCCAAAATATCATTTAGGATCCAAGGTGTTCAGGTTAATTAACATTATAAAATTAATTTATTAAGCTATAGCACTAAGATGGGAAAGTTTTGCAAGAGAAACAACTTTACTTTCTCAATGGGGACTTCATTTCTTTTGCACCATGCAACTGTGATCCGAGGATCAAGATAGTTTATCTTTGATGTGCCCAGAGCGATTTCTTTGAGATCTTCTTTACTTTTCATATCGCGCTCATATTTGTCAATTTTTGTCTTCACTGAGAGAATCTTTTTCTCAATCCTACAAAAACATCATCATAGATCAGCCAAAAATGCTCAAAAGTAACTTAGAAAAGATTTTACAATAAGCAATCAGCACAAGGCGTCAAGACAATTACGCTTCGGGGGTCAAATTTCTCTTTTGCTTTCCATTACTGTCCTTCAATGGAGGTTTTCCTTTCTTTGCCCGAGTCAAATCCATCTCCAGTTCAGTCAACTCAGCCTAGTGTCAGTTTTGAAACCATGTAATTAAGTAATATGCACTCACCAATATAACGGGCAAAAGAGAAACATCAGTTATACTCCAAAAACTCATGAAATTGGAATACACAAAAGGACTGCTCCTCTTCTTAGTAGGTGTCTGTGAGGCATCATATACCCATATCAAAAGCTTCACAAATTGCGTAAACAGAGAATCATACCTTTGCTTCATCTATTTTTGCTTGAAGTCTATCCATCTGTGTAGAATGAGACTTTGATACTGCACGTTGATGATTACAAATGATTGCAACCTGCAAGAGAAATAACACTCTGCATGAAACCTAGTACATGGACCTCATAGCAAAGTTTTCAAGAAACGCTGAAGACTCAACTTACCTCCTTGTTTGCATGCTGATAACTGGCTATTTTTTCTGGCACCTCTCCACTTCCAACCCCTTTAGCAAGCTAATATACACAAACAAAAATTCATCAAATGATATAAATTAACTCATTGCAAACTAACATTAATTTTATTCTGTTTCGAAAGGGGGATCGGGATCTACTTCATGTACATCTCCATTTAAAGTATTGCATCGGAGTTTGAAAAGGCCATAAAAAGCCTTGAAATCAAAAATGCAACACTGATCATACAACTACATGAGCACAAGGAATCACCATTAAGTTGTTGTTTTGACTCCTATTTCATTGTTCAAAGATGATTAAAAAAAACTGTTGAGAAATCACATGCAGGTTCAAAATTTTCCTCTTTTTCATACTGGATATGGATTATGTAACAGCGTGAACATAGCCACTCTTTCTAAGCTATAGACTAAAGAGACAGTCACGGAATCCATACCATGTCATCCAAAGTGACAGATGCATTAAACGTACGGAATACTTTAGCAGTGAGACCAGGCATTAGTTCTTTCAGATGAGCATTCAACTTGCTAGTGTCCAACTTGTCAAAGAGATCATCACCGTCACGCTTCCCTGATAAAAAGAGTTAATATTGTAAAACAAGACTTGCCAAAAAAAAACACCAACATAGTCGCACATGAACTACTGTTTGATACCTTGTCTGAAAATCTTAACTGCTTCATACACATCCTTGTCAGCAGCAAATTGTTTGTAGTACTTGATCGAATCTTTACCAAGAAAATCAAACTGGACAGCATAAATAATATTAAGGTCGTGATAAATCAAAGCTGCAAAATTTTAGAAATCCACAAACATTGCCTGAACCTCACCCCAACCCTCTTATCATTGTTGAATAAAGCCAGAAAGGAGTGAAAATCAACTTACCTCCAATATACACCCTTCTTTTGGTATTACGTTTTCCACTTTCAATGTACAACAACCAACTGTATCTGCTTCATCATCATCCTGGAACATGGCAAGAGGTATCACAGTATAAAAACGTGTTAATAAACAAGTAACCTGATTCCCAAAGTGTCATCCACACTTCCCTCGTCTTCAGGTATAAACCAGAGACCACAAAGCTAATCAAAAACTCTAAAATACAGTAAAGATTGGTTAATATCAATGTGTTTGGATAGAAGGATGTAGAAGGAAGGGAAGGAGGGAGAGGGAAGAGAGAGCAAGGGGGCAATTTTCCATTATCTGGTAACAATTCAGTGGGTTGAGGAAACATTGGGAAAACAAGCAATGGAAACGAACAGGAATCTTGAACTTATATACTGCTTATGTGACTGCAGTGACTATCAAACAGATTTCAAAATGAAAAGGACAATAGGATGCACATTTGTTTTTCTTACAATCCCTTGGGAGTAATGGAGTCCTAATTTTCTGCTAATGAATCTATTTTTACTAAGTTATGAGTACATTCACCAGCAGCCCATGTCTGGAAACTCTAGACACTCCACATCAACCTGCTAGTTCACAATTAAACTCATGAAAATGCTGTTTTCATAGCTCAAAATATTGAAGATAAAAAATTGTTTCTTTCAAATCATATCATGGGGCTTTTATGTGGACCTAAATGTTCCTATTATGAAGAGATTCTGTTTATTGAAGGTAAAAAAAAGGTTGCCCATTAAATTTTCCTACTTTCCTTTTCAATCCATACAAAAATAGTTTGCCTGTTTCTATATTTGGCAAGGGCCCAGTATTATTTTAGTACTTCACTCCTCTACCCGTGGCCAACCAATTTTCTCTCTTCACATATACTTTGAATATAATACTACCCAATTATCTCCTATCACATCTACTTTTTTATTCAAATAATAATAGATAACCAAACACCAAAACACCTCCTATGATTACATGCTTTGATATGTGGGCAAACTAAATCGGAATTTGGAGTAATATCACCATTTATACATGCAAAAACATACCAAAGGTTTCACTAGTATACGACATACTCTATTTAGTCTTATCTGAACATATACTACTATTTGTTGCGGGCAAATAAATAACCACAATAAGCATCTTCAAAATTATCCTTCCAGCGGTTCAAGTTTTAGCCAAACCATCAAGAAACACATTTAAAATTTTCAATTAAACAATAAAGATTCATCCAATGCTTTAAGGCTTCCACCCCACAGCATTAACGTACAGAGGGAAAACCCATGCCAAAACAACTTCAATGAACCAACTTATAGTTAGTAAAACTCTGAAACAGGCACTTAGCTTCATCTACGGAACATATTAAGTATAATTAGTAAGTAAACCCTACCTTTTCATTACCCGCCCTCAAAGCAAGTCTATCAATGAGATAGGTAGCAACTGCTATCTGTTTCCTGGTCATATCGTTGCTCCTAAAATTCTTTTTATATGTTGTTCGAATACCTTCAATGTAGTCCTGCACTTGATAAAAGCAAACATTAAAACAAACCATCAACAGATCAATACCAACAGTAAACATCAGGGTGAAAGTCGAGCAACCTTCAACTTCCTTGCTTTCTCATATTTTTCCTTGTCACTTTGCCCCTTCAACGTACTGCTAGCTGCCAAGAACACATACTTGAACTCTTTTGGGTTTATGGGATCATTCCAATAAGCTAACCATGTAACTGTGTTGTCATGCCGTACTTCTTTCCAACTGCCAACAAAGATGTAACATCTTGAATGCATTTTTACAGAGAAAGACAAGAATTCTTCAAACAATGTGTGAACAGAAGGAAGTACTATCTTATTTTGTGAAAGATAAATAAATGAATGAACCACCACCTCTGACCAGGGATGGGACATTCTGGAATCGGAGCGTCTTTTCCTATATTTATTGTAATGTCACTTGGATGAATACGTTTTTTGAGTTTCCCCATCTGTGCCATGACAAATAAAAATAATGCTTAAAGATGTTGCCAAGTAAGCTCATTAAGCCTAAGACACAAGATGAAAATATGAAAACCTTGGGATGCTCTCCACGGCCCCTAAACAACCCAGGAGGCTCAACTCTAAAGTTTCCCACCTGTAACAAAATTTCAACAATGGTTCAGATTTAAATTAACAGACTACAATACACGAATGTGATTAGTATCATTGCTTCACACAAAAAGAAATAGGGAAACTGACTGGTTTGCCCATTATTTTATCTAAATAAGAGTTAATCACCCTCAGAAGGTTGTCAATCTTTCTATCAAAATAAAATAACACTTCTCAACGAGTAGAGAGAGCACACATGCTAGTGCAGCAACAGTATGCGTCTTACACAAAAAAGAAGCATTATTACATAGAAACTATGTTTAAATCATCAACAGCTTGGTAATGATAGTACGGTAGTACCGATGTATTTACTATAATGATATTGATTGGCCTTATAATCAGTAACACCAAAACAGCAACATATTTGGCATTTGAAATATATTAGGAACTTGACACTCAATGGGGCCCTCCTTCTTCCTACCCAAAAGTACCTCACATGTGCCATACTAGTGAGAAGCCCATTTTATAGAAAATTTTTTGTAACAAAAAAATACTAAATACCAAGAGAAAGGATAACAAAACACATACAGATAAGAATGAAGGCAGTATCACAATATGCTATTACATAATCATTCAATTAGTGAATGTAACCATGTTTGCAAGGCCTGCTCTAATTAAATTAATAACCAAGTAATCAAAAACCAAAAAAAAATGTCACTATGGAACCAGCAATAAGTAGGATACAGTCCAAAGTCTGAAACTCAACCATTCTGTGACGCACTTGATAATGGAAGAAGCAGGGTGCCACAAGTGGAAGGATTGCCTTAATATGATACACAATGAAATTTTGCTTCAAGTATGAACATTATACACATAAATAGATCAACCTCATATGCAATTACATTCACAAACAAGAGATTATACACATGGTGATCAACCTCATATGAAATCACATTCAACAAACAAGATCAAGTTCCTGCAATCCTTCATAAAAAACAGACCTCAAGTTGCTACAAGTATGAACATCCTCACTATATGATACAATTAACAAGGTAAAAAAAAAATGCACACAGTAACACAGCCACTGTAATTGCAGGTTGAAAGGATAGAAAACCTTTTCTTTGACACCATCAACAATAGCCCACATATACTTCTCTTCTAGTTTCAATTTCTCTTCTTTTAATGCCTTCTTCTCCTGCAATAATGGTGGTTATAGTCAGATTCTTGAGCAAAAGCATCAAACAAATCACATAATTCATTTCACCAAAATCATCAAGGATCAAAAGACAAATCATAAAAAGATACAGAGCAACAAATATGGACAACAGGGTCACCTATGGTATAACCCAGTGGCAGAATGAATGACAACGATACACATATCAATGTGACACCCCAAAAAAAAATAGTTGTCTTAACCCCTTTAACCAGATATTTGTACTCCCTACATCCCAAAACAAACCTGCAAATAGCTTTACACAGGGAAATTCTAACAGCTAAATGCCCACAACAGATTTTGACAACAAACTCCAGCAGCAACAGCAGTTCCCAAGTAAAAGCAAGAAAAAAATCATTTTTTTATCATGTACAGCAAACAGCTATACTTATCAGCAGGTACAATTGCACTAAAAAGTTAAGCAATAATCATCATAGAACTCATGATACACAAATGTAAACAAGCAAATTCATCCCTACAAGATTCTATCTAATCACCATCTTAGGTTATAAAAATATTTTATCAAATTAAATCAATATTCTAACTGACACACTTACATCAGTGGTCATTTGTTTCTTTTTCTCCTTCTCACTTAAATGCCATTCATGTATCGGCCTAAAATCACACTTGCTAAGGTCCTGAATCACATGGTTCTTCCCAAGAAGTTTTTTCCAATCAGTAAAGAAGTTTTCATTAAATTTTTCCTTCTGTACATAATCTGTCTCAAGCATCACAGCGTACATAGTAGCAACCTGTGAACAGAAATAAATAAAACGAGGCATACAAGTAAGTAAACCAGCATAAAAGGGAAAAAAAAGGAGGGGGGGGGATGAGAAGCTAATAAATGTTTAGAGAGACAGTAAAAAATCAAGAAACTACAAGCACGTGAGTAAACTACCTCCTCCTGCTCAGGTGTGAGGTCAACTGGTTTACCATTGTACAGCATCTTAACCCCATGAGGCTGGTATGGAGGAGGAAATATAACACCACTGTGAACCAGGGTGGTCCATTTCTGCCCATCACCTGAATTAGGTAGCTCTTTTGAAGACTTCGAGTAACTTGATTTCTTCATAATTTTCTTTGATTTCTTATTGACTTTCTTCAACTTGGAAGAATTAACTTTAGTGACCTTTTTAGCTGGCACGGATTTACTACCTGATGCAGATTTATTCAACCGTTGACCTATTGGAATGTGGTCATCATCATCCTTGACCCTTGCTTTTAGAGGTATTTGCTTAGCTTTACCTGAGGTAGATGCATCTGAAAGCTTTGCCTTTTTTATAGAAGATTGACCAGCAGAGGAATCTGCTGAAGGCCTTTTAATTGAACTAACAGGTCCTTTCTTAATTTGAGTTTCCCTATTAATAGATCCATTTTGTTGTAGCTTAGAAGACAATGGTTTGTCTTCATCAGAATCATCATGCTTGATAGCAGATGTCCCATTGTTGCCTTTCATCTGTAACTTAGCTGACAAAGGTTTTTCATCCTCTGAATCATCTGATGGTTTCATACTCCCGGCCTTTAACTTTTGAGTCTGTGATGTTCCAGCAGTAGCCCTTCCCTTATCTATCCTAGCAAAAAGAGGCTTATCATCCTCAGAATCACTACTACAAGACTTGCCTTCAGCCATGTTGGAAATTCCTTTCTTTGAACCAACAGAGCATCTTGTACTAAGTGGCTTGTCATCATCAGAATCATCAGAGTCATCAGCTAATGGCTTAGCAAGCTTTTCCTCTTTAACTACAGCTGGAGCACGCTTCTCTTCTTTAACTGCAACTGGAGAACGCTTCTCAACTTTAACTGGAATATCCTTCTTTGGCTGGTGATTTGCTGAAGAAGCTCCATTTGTGGAAGGTAATTTGCTATTTGTTGTCCTAGATGGTGGGGGAGATGGAGAAGGTCTATTCGATGAAGGCTGTGGAGATGGAGAAGGTCGAGTTGAAGGAGGAGACGGAGAAGGTCGGTTTGAAGGAGGAGATGGAGAAGGTCTATTCGATGAAGGTTGTGGAGATGGAGAAGGTCGAGTTGATGAAGGTGGAGAGGGAGAAGGTCTAGTTGATAAAGGCGGTGACTTTAGGTTTCTCGAGGATGGAGGTGGAGATTTTTGAGTTCCAAGAGTCGGCTTTGAAGAAGACGGCTTCGAAGATGAAACCGTCTTCCCCTTCAAAGCACTAGAACCTCGATCATTCAAGGTTCTAGCATCAGAACCCAACTTCCCCGACGGCTTATCATTTCTCACTGACAATGAAGAATTCTTTAATTCCGAGCTTATTGGGGTTGTTTTTCTTCTAGTAAAAACTAATGGGGTATCCTCATCATCACTATCCTCACAGGCCGCAGCCGGATTGGCGGGCGCATGGTTAAAAGATCCATTTTCATAGTTCCGTCCTAACATTAAAGGGTTCTAATCAAAAACCTGCAACACATTAGCAACCAAACTTGATTCAATTATCAAATTAGGCTAAAAAACACATGTATACTCACCTCATTTACAAACAATAAAACAAAAATCAACGTAAATTGCACACAGCCAAGCCGTGTAGTTCAATCCTAACATTAAAGGGCTGTGCAATACATTAGCAACCGAATTCGATTCAATTATCTCACAAAATAACATAATTTTAGGAACATACAATTCAATAACGAAATTAGGGTCAGAATTAGTTGAGATTTTGGAACCCTACACTTAAAATAAAACAAAATTAGAGCAAAGATGAACCCTAGATTGTGAAATTGAAATGATGAATACTACAAGAAAGAACAACAAGTTACCTCAGAAGCTGCTTTAATGGAGGAAAGAGGTATTGGAAGGAGAAGGTGAAGTGCGATGTTGAGTGCGCTTCAATGGAGGAGGAGAGAGAAGGAAGAACTAGGCAGGGCTATATTCATCCGTTTGTTTTTTTTTTTTTTTTTTTTTTTTTTTTTTTTTTTTGGTTTCGTTGTTGACAGAGAAATTTAATGGGTTGGAGCCCCATTAATAAAAGCCCCAGTTATAATGGGTAAGATCCGTCCAAAAATATATGGGCCGGGTCTTATTACTCTTATACGATCGTGAGATCGTCCAATTATGGATAGTTTAATGGGACGAGTCGAGCTTTATAAGTACTACCTCCGTTAATTACGTATGTGTAACAAAAGGGTATTAGTTGTGAAACGTAAAATATTTCTTTGTTGCACATAATAATTAACGGAGGTAGTATTTTAATGAAAAAATAAAACAATTGATATGTAGTACAAGTATTAATTAACTAGATAAATGATCGTGCATCGATAATAATTTTTTCTTAAATAATTAATTTGTGATACATAGTATAATATAAAAATAAAACCACTCATGTAGAATAAACCAATGTAATGTGTGCTAAAAAAAATGTAACCATATATGAAAATTAAAATGATAAGGTCAAAATTATTTTAAAAAAAATTGAGAAAAATTGTTGGTAATTATATTACATTACTCCGTACATAATGTTGTTCTGTTTTAATATTGAGGAAGCCCCGGTTAATAGGGAGTAATTGAATAGATTACCCTTTAATTTCCACACACCAAAGGAAGTATGTAAAATTTCTAAGAGAAATTTTTATTTTAAGTAAAAAGGAGACATAAAAAGGGGCAATATTAAGACTCAAGTTATTCCATTCCCGTCGTTCAATCAAACCTAAAATCGACTTGTTTTTTTTTTCCGATCTATTATTAAGTATAATGGATGCTTTCAAAGTCCTAAGGTTTTTTGGGTTTTTTTTTTTTTGGATGAAATAGGAGAAATGACGACTTTTAAAGGCTTATATCCCTTATTTCTATTAGTCTTCTCTGTAATTTTTTTTCCTCCATAGTTGAATAGGCCAGCAGCCGTTTCTCGGCCCAACAATCCAATCTCAGACTCAGGCTCATCTCTGATAAGGTCTACACCAGTACACCACACTTAACCAGAGGGAGCCTCAATTGGAGAAGATGATTTGATTTTCAGCCTATTTCTTAGTTTCTTACTGATTAATGGTTAAAAAGCAGCAGCCTAAACATAGAGTATTTAAACAAGACAAAAAAATGTGGAAACCAGCATAAAAACTACTTGTATTTATAATTACACTTCACACAACCTCACCCTCACATTATATTTCCAAGTCCTAACACCAAAAAAAATAAACCCCTTAACTAACATTAATATGAACATACATTGAAATGCATCTGGATTGCAAGCAAAAGAATATACATTAGAAATTTTCAAAATCTGACTATGGGGAAAAACACAACAGGATTTTGTTATTGAACTCCCAAATCAAACTGTACCAACAGCATTCGGTTCAGTCTAATAATACACTGGAATTTACAATTCTGTAAACTAATCGAAAGAAGAAATTAGCTTTGCACCTTTCAGGCCCTAAAAATTAATGCCTAATTAAATGCAAAATTTTCTTTAAATTATCACAAGGTAGATTTCTTGCAGCACTAGCAGGCTGGTGCTGAACCCAAGCATCGGCCACTGAATGTACAATCTACCAGGAGACCTATTGATGATGTAGAGCTGGTCTTTTCTCAACAAGTTCATAATGGATAACAAAATTCTCCTGCAGAAGAATACCATAATGAGATTGAGTCTAGTAAATTTCATAAAAGCGTGAGTATATAGAAATTTACATACCTTAATAGACGTATCCCATGTATTGGGATCAAAGGCAACATAAGAACCTCTTTCATATGCATTGGTCTTAACAAGAGGCTCCATGTTGGGAACTCTCATAAACCAAAGTCGGAGGTCTTTGTGGTAGAACCAACCTCTGTTATAGCTGCCAGAAAAGAAAGAAAAACACTCAGATTTATGACGCCAAGAGGTAGTGGATATTTCCACAAGTTGAGCAAATGGTGACGCCCTAACACTGGTTTCTGAAATGATTTAAGTGAAGATGGACATTTAAGCACATTGAGGGGTAAGGACAAGCCAAGTGGATCAAGACATAAAACAAATTATAAAATAAATAAATAAACCTACTATACATGGGTTCAATCCCTGTTCTTTGCAGAGTGAAATGGCTCCTGACAAAAATCCCTACTAGCCAAGAAAAACATAGAACCAATCTACCACAGAAGACAGGTAGTTGGTTCCATTGTGTCATAAAGATGTCAACCAGGAACCGTTGTCAAATGATTTATGGCTATTTTTTTAGCACATCTTTGAATGTCAAAGTACAAATCATCCTATACTACCATCGCAATTTGGTTACATGGAAGCTCATGCAGAAGCACCCAGTGACATCAGAAAATCATTTAAATCCCACTCTCACTCCTCTCAAGTAACCAAGTGGATTCCATATATAAATAATTTTGTTTTTGTTATAAACCCTCATACTATGCTAGGCATCTCTATTGATTACAGAGTGACCCTCTTCATATGTTAATAGAAAATACATATAGATAGATCATATCATTTACAGAGTGGCCCTCTTCATATTTTATAGAAAATACATATAGAAAGATCATATCATTTACAGAGTGGCCCTCTTCATATTTTAATAGAAAATACATAAAGATAGATCATATAATTCAAATATTGAAGTGTTGTGAAACTACATACTAATATAACAAATCAAACTTAGCGTATAAAAAAATTAGCGTTTATGCTTTGTGTCATAGTTCACGAGTCTCATAGCCATAACACTAAAAAAATCACTTAAAAGAGAATGTATAATATTGGCTCATGCACAGCACTGGAATATATATATATATATATATATATATATATATATATATATATATATATATATATATATATATATATATATATATAATGAAGGGATTTTCTATTTTACTTCAAAATGTCATTAATAGGATTACAACCATTAGGCACAGGAGAAACTCATGGCCTCATGGGTAGAGAAGAAGAGAAAGAGAGCCAGATCAAAAATGAAATAATGAACTAAATCACATGTATAAAGAACAATTAAGATAAGGACATACAGTTCATTGGCTGCATATATCTGAGCTTCATCTCTTGGCATGCTGCAAATGGAAAACAATTTTATCAATAACAACACAAAAATTGAGATAGATGATAGAATTAGGACCTCCTTGAAGATTTACCTGTAAAAGATGTAGAACAGTGTTGGCAGCTGAAATTTTGCAAAATAAGCTTGCTGCAGCAAAACAACTATTAGAAGAGCATAAATAAGAAAACCTAACAACAAAAAGGAACAAGAGGTTTCAAGCAGCTCACACTTAGTGGGGGAGGTTGTTTTTCATGATAACATTCAGGTATCATGAACTCGGGTTCACCCTTGGCTGGTTCATCAGACCACGGGGAGGCAAAAGTTTTGTGAAGATTTTCTGATGAATTCAAATTCAATCCTAATGTCGTTAGATCAATTCCAAGGGCAAGAGATGTCAGATCAGGATCGCTCATTCTTATCACACTCAATAAGCCAAGTAATCCATATGGATCTGGAGCAGGTTGCGGAGATTGTATCGGCTTTATGCCCTGATCTCTAAAAGTCTGATTGAGAGATGGCAACTGTTGAAGGCGAAATTGTGTCTGGTTATGTTGTTGATACTGCTGCATAAACTGCTGCTCGTAAGAATTCATATTAGAAATTCCACCCGGAGTGTTCATGGACCTTAGGCTGATGCCAGGGGGCATGCTACTCTGTACCATAACAAAATTGCGATATTAGAAGATATCAAAAAGGATAATCTTTCTTTTATAATGACTACCTATCCCCACTTCCCCCCTTCCCCTACATTGCTTTATAACAAAGTTACACTCAGCAAGGGAACATTTACAGCAAGTTTAGTCAAATAACTTTTATACTAATTGGTCCAGAATGTGTATTTAGCATCTCTTAAATCAATATTAAATATCTGTTGAAACCTAAAGTATTTATTCAATATGGAAAATTGGTCTTATTAATCTGAAGCTCATATTTCTGGCAATGTTAGCTATGGGGAAGGGAAGAAAGTTAATCTAGATATAGTAAGCATATCTCTACCACCCTTGACATTTCTTCACCTTAACTGCTACATTGCCTATGCAAAAATTTACAAAGGCAACATGGAGACTAAAATTTAGGTCCTCTCCATTAATCTAATCAGCAGAAACAGAACTGCCCACAGAGCACATAACCCAATTACTAGTGATAAGCTGCCTCATATACAATGCTGGCACAACTTTTTAACTGGTAAAAGAGCTTGATTCACCACAAACTCAAAAGATCCATTCGGCAAGGGAACATTTACAGCAAGTTTAGTCAAATAACTTTTATACTAATTGGTCCAGAATGTGTATTTAGCATCTCTTAAATCAATATTAAATATCTATTGAAACCTAAAGTATTTATTCAATATGGAAAATTGATCATATTAATCTGAAGCTCATATTTCTGGCAATGTTAGCTATGGGGAAGGGAAGAAAGTTAATATAGATATAGTAAGCATATCACTACCACCCTTGACATTTCTTCACCTTAACTGCTACATTGCCTATGCAAAAATTTACAAAGGCAACATGGAGACTAAAATTTAGGTCCTCTCCATATATCTAATCAGCAGAAACAGAACTGCCCACAGAGTACATAACCCAATTACTAGTGATAAGCTGCCTCATATACAATGCTGGCACAACTTTTTAACTGGTAAAAGAGCTTGATTCACCACAAACTCAAAAGATCCATTCGGCCTCGTATTAAACCCGTAAGTTTTCTGAAATATAAAGGGAATTTCAGATGCAAAAATTTTCTTACAACAGAAACAAGGGAAAACTACTGACCGAAAGTGAATGTTGCTGTTGCTGCTGCTGCTGTGAACGGTGTGATGAGTACATTCCTCCTAAGTTGAAGCCGGGTGACCTTCCCATCTAGACATAAATCTTTGAAATAAGAGAACACATACATCTCCCAAGAAACCCAGCTGAAGTAATAAAGACAACACCTAAAATGCAAATTAATATCTCGATAATGAACAAGTGCTCACAGAGAAGTGTTGAGATTGCATCGGTACACCATTTTCATGAATCTGTTCCTTTTGCTGGAATTCCATCCCATAATCAGCATTTCCACCTGCAAAGGAATCAGATTTCATTACAATTGAAAAAATATCCCTTAAAACTACAAAAATCTTA